CTCAGGCACGCAACTGAGTTTCAAAATTCCAAATTTTAAGGACTCCTGCTGTTCCTCCCAGGGAGGGTCTTGCCCCCCTTTCTGCCTTTTGCTGGGCCCCTTCCAGGAAAGCGGTCTCAGGAGCAGGCAATGGTTTGAAGTTTCATGGCAGCACAGAGCAGAAAGCCAGCGCCTACAGTTCACTGTTCTCAGCCAGTTTCCGGGATCTGATGCCTGGGAACTCCTTAGCACTCGGGCACCACCTGATCTTCCGGCGACCCCAGGGATCCTCAGACCACCCTGTCACACCTGGCATTCCACCCCGCTTCTGAGCACATTTAAGCCAGGCACGTCCCCCACTGTAGCAGACTTCTAAAAGTTCAGATTTTGCACTCTGCTGCTTATACTACCCCCCCTCCACCCAGCAGGCTCCCTCCCCTCGCCTACCCTGGGCTCTACCTAGCTTCGAGTCTCCGCACCTCCTATCTGCCAGACAGTGGTCATTTTCTACTTGTAGAATTGCAGTATTTGTTTTCTCAGATATTTGATTGCTTCCTCGGGGGTTCAGAATGATTTGGTAACTATCCAGTTGTATTCGAGGAGCAAGAAAAACTTAGGGTTCCCTAACTTCTTTCTCTGCCCTCCTAACTCCCCATGCGCATGTTTTTGTTTTTGTTTTTGTTTTCCTGATAGTGCAGGTCTCCTAGCAAGGACTTGCCCTAGTTAATTATTTTACTTTTCTTATTTCCGAAAATGTGCTTATTTTGTTTTGTTTTTTTTCTTGGATTTTATTTTCACTAGACATTATTTTGGGTTCAAAATGTTTTAGTTTCGTACTTAAAAACTGTTTTTCATTCTCTTCCAGCTTCCATATCTGCCAATAAGACAATACAATTCCATTGTATGAAATGCATCTTTTTTTATTTTATTTTATTTTTTTAAAAAGATTTTATTTATTTATTTGACAGACAGAGATCACAGGAAGGCAGAGAAGCAGAGAGAGAGAGAGGAGGAAGCAGGCTCCCTGCTGAGCAGAGAGCCCTATGCGGCTGATCCCAGGACCCTGGGATCATGACCTAGCCGAAGGCAGAGGCTTTAACCCACTGAGCCACCCAGGCGCCCCAATGCATCTTTTTATAAATGGCTGTTTTCAAAAGTCTCATTATCTTTCGCTATTGGTAATTTGTATATATTATATTTTCTTTGTATTTATCGGACATGGACTTTATTAATTTTCTACATCCTATATAGTTATCTCAGTCATCAAATTTGAGGAATTGATGGTCTTGTTTCTTCAAGTAATTTTTCTTCCATATTCTCTTTTTTCATTCTCAGACTCCATGTACACATTTCCTTTTTCTATTGTGCAGCCATTCCCACAAACTCATTTTAGAATTATTTTTCTTTTTTTTAACTTAAATTGGATTATTTCTATTGTTTATTTCCATTATTTCCATTTATTTTTAGGCTCATGGTCTTTTGTCAATTCCATCTGTCTTAAGTCTCCCCAGTGAAGTTTTTTTTTTTCAAATATTGAACTATAAGTTCTAGAATTTCTTTCTCTTTTATGGTTTCTCTTTTTCTCTTAATGTCATATTTTTATTCATTGAGAGCATTTTTTATAATGTTCTTTAGAATAGCTATAAATCTTGTATAAAATACTTGTCCATTCCAATATCTGGATCATCTTGCACTCAGTATGTTGATTGTCTTTCTCTCTCCTTTTTTTTTCAAGACTTTATTTGACAGAAAGAGAAACAGCTAGAGCGGAAACACAAGCAGGGGGAGTGGGAGAGGGAGAAGCAGGCTTCCTGCAAGCCCGGTGTGGGTCTCCATCCCAGGACTCTGGGATCATGACCTGAGCTGAAGGCAGACGCTTAACAACAGAGTCACCCAGGCACCCCTTGATTATCTTTCTCTTGAGAATGGGTCTGGATCATGTTCTTCTAGTTATTTGTATATCACGTCATTTGCTCACCTGACAACTACCTATAAGAAATGCTTTCTGGAATTTCCATTCCAATCCTACGCCTCCGTTTTTTGTTTTTTGTTTTTGTTTTTAATTTCTTTACATCTTGGAGGAGAATAGAAAGCTAAGGATAGCAAAGCTTCTCAAATACGACACTGCTGCTCAAGCAACTTGTTTAGAAATGTGTGCCACAAATAGTTTGAGAATGAAAGAAAACAGTTCCCTTTCAAGATTTCACCCTCAGAATCGAGGAGGAGAAATGAAACTTCTACCTGCCTTCCTCTTATTAGCTGCTTTAAGAGATAGCCAGTGTGAGTTGCAAGTTTTTACTTTTTTATTCAACCCCATCAATCTTTGAGTTGGTACAAATTCATTATAAATTCTGATATGTCTTAATTTTTCATTTTATTTTTTTAATTTCCAGTATTTGTCATGATTTTAAAAAGTTGGCCACTATTTTCTTGAATTACTTTATTGAGCTATAATTCACATATCCTACAATTCACTCATTTAAAATGGATTGTGCGTTCAATGTTTTTTGGTATAATCACAGGGTTGTATAATCACCACCACAATTAATTTTAGAACATTTACTGCTGTTAGCTATCAGCCCCTGCTTCCCTACTCCAGCACTAACCAACCACAGATTTACTTTCTGTCCCTCTATATTTGTCTATTCTGGACATATCCTATAAATGGAATCACATAATATATAGTCGTTTTTGACTGGCTTTTCTCACTAAACCTAAAGTTTCTGAGGTTCATCCCTGTTGTGGCATGAAATAGTATTTTATCCTTTTTTATAACTAAATAATATTACATAAATAATAACTAAACAATATTAATAATAACTAAATAATATATAAGATATGTTTGTAAATAACTAAATAAAATTAATAACTAAGCATAACTAATGTTAATAATAACTAAATAATATTACATAAGATATATGTGTATTTTGCTAAGTATCTGGGTTGTTTCTACTTTTTTTTTTTTTAAAGATTTTATTTATTTATTTGACAGAGATCACAAGCAGGCAGAGAGGCAGGCAGAGAGAGAGGAGGAAGCAGGCTCCCTGATGAGCAGAGAGCCTGATGCGGGGCTCAATCCCAGGACCCTGAGATCATGACCTGAGCCGAAGGCAGTGGCTTAACCCACTGAGCCACCCAGGCGCCCCTCTACTTTTGATTATTATGAATAATTCTGGTATGAACATTCATGTCCAATGCTTCTGTGAACATGTTTTTATTTCTTTTGGTATATATCTAGAAATAGATTACTGACTCTATGATAACTCTATGATTAGCCTTTCAAACAACTTCTAGATTGTTTTCCAAATTGAGTGTACCTCTTTACATTCTCATCAGCAGTTATATGGGTTCCAATTTGTCCATATTCTTAACAACACTTGTTACTATCTGACTGATTATAGCCATTCTAGTGGGTGGGAAGTAGTATCTCATGGAGATTTTTATTTGCATTTGCTTAATGATTCATAAAGTTAAGTATCTTTTCATGTGCTTACTGGCCATTCATATATATTTTTTGTAGACATGTCTATTTAGATCTTTTGCTCATTTTAAAATTGGGTTGTCATTCTATTTTGAGTGGTGAGTTCTTTAATTCTAGGTATGAGTCCCTTATCAGATATATAATTTGCAACTCTTTTCTTCTATTATATCTGTTGTGCTTTCATTTTCTTATCAGTATTGTTTAAAGCATAAAGGTTTGTAATCTTGATGAAGTTCAATTTGTCTATTTTTTCTTGCTTGCTTATGTTTTGATGTCATATTGAAGAATCTATTGCTATATCCATAGTCGTGAAGATTTTAAGCCTTAATTTTTACCTGTATTTATTGTCAGCATATTCATAGATACTTAAGAAAAAAAAGAAACCTGCTGACCAAAAAATATTTTAACTATGAAATGCTACCTAAAATACAGGAACATGCAAAGTATATTTTTAAAAGTTCCTGTTCAGTATTTTCCTGAACTATAGTACATCAAAAAATAATGGAGTTTTTTCCCTGAAATCAGCTTCATGACCTACAGGGTCTTTATACTCTCATCTTCTACTTTCTTGGTCTCTAATCACAGTTCTTGATGACTTTCATCTAACTGTAATAGTAATATAATTCAAAATGAAAAATTATAAAATATAGGAAATATAAAAATTTGCAAGTATTTAATTTCTTAACCTACTAACCTCAAACTACATTGAATTGTTACAGCCATACTTTGTATTTCTTCCCTATCATCTCTAAGTATTTACACATGTCTAGGTAATCTTATAAGTGCAGTATTGTAACATCATAATTTTCACTTATAACTATAGTTACCTTTGTATATGTTTTATCACCTCTTGACTATACTGGAAGTGCTGTACTAGGATTTGTAAATATTTCAGTCTTCTACTCATTTGTGGAAGATGATGTATTTGTGCCTTTAAGGATTATCTAGTATTTGATGAATAATTAGTCTCCCATTAGAGGACTTATTAATATTTACTATTGCTTGCTACAAGCATAAGAGGTGATAGTTTTTGTATTTTTATGATGTTAGGAAGATAGTACATTAACAACTTTGTTTCAGAAGAAGTAGGCTCAGAAAGCATTGAAGTTATCTTACAAATTTTAGACAGTTGGCAGAGGTTAGAGGGAATTAACTGAATTGAGGCCCATGCTCACTTTCTGTGGGTACTGCACATACAGGGGGCCCAGTGCTAAGATTTGCCCAGGTATAATGTAGTCCTCCTAATACCCGAAGCACTGCTCTCAGCTTCTAAACTTGTGAACCTCTGAAAATCCAAATTCAAAGTAAGACTGAGATAAACAACACTTGAAAGAACAAAGTATAGAAAAGAATGCATACTTATACATGTAGGATTACCTTTTTTTAAGATTTTATTTGTTTATTTGAGAGAGACAGAGAGAGAAGGAGCACAAGCAGGATGAAGGGCAGAGGAAGAAGCAGACTCCCCGCTGAGCAGAGAGCCCGATGTGGGACTCAATCCCAGGACCCTGAGATCATGACCTGAGCGGAAGGCAGACGTTTAACCCACTGAGCCACCCAGGCGCCCCATGTATGACTACTTTTTAAAATTATATTCAATGGAACTACACTGGTTTCATTCACACATGGGGTATTCAAATTTCCCTTCCTGACAGACTACCCGAAAAGATTCCTTTGATGTCTTCGCTTTATACGGCAATTTACAGTCAAATTCAACAAAATCCCCTGTTTTCACATAAAGTTTTTTGATGTCTTGCCATCTAAACTGTATATTATTTTTGTTCATGTTAACTTCAGAAATTATACAGGCATCTGAAAGAAGAAATAATAAAAATAAATTATTAATAATATAACTTTTCCTTCCCAAGAATTAAATAAAATTATGAATGAATATTAAAAGCTACTATTTATTGAGTTTGCCAGATACTGTTCTCAGTATTTTGTATGCATTTTCTCTAAATACCGCACATCATTTCCCTGGGCTACATAAGAGGAAAAGGGGGTTCAGAAAGGTTGAGTAATTTTTCCAAGGTCATATAATTGAGCAAGTTTTTTGAGCCAGAATATGGAAACTGGCAGTTTGACTTCAGACCTTATGCTCTTAATTCCTATGCATTATATACCTAAACCCCACATACCAAATAGGATTAAATTAAAATGTTCTATTAGGGTCAATGTTATTCATTCACCCTCCTTTCCCAACTCAGGATTCTCTTTTACATTGTTTCCAAAATGTGCACAGTGTGAGTACATGAATATATTAACATCTTACTAAATATTATAGTAAAAATAAGTTTATTTCCATCTACAGTACAGAAAGTTGGCTGAAGAAGACAACAATATATATAAAAACCAATCATCTCTTTAAGTATTCACTTAGCATATTCTTGAAGGTAACTATCAATGAGCTATTATATTACTTGTTTAGCACTCCTTCTCCACAAACTAATTATTGATGGTTCGTGACTTTTATGAAACCCTGATTTCTGTAGAAGAGAAGTGTTACTTTCCTCCATGATCAGAGTCCACTCCTCCTTTTTTAAATTCAGCATTCTTAGAGGTAGCATCCCCCTGAGTAAATAGTACACCCTGTCCCTACTAGCAGCATGTTCTCCATAGTCCATCATCTCTGATACGGGACTTGTTCAGAGTTGATGAAATAAGTCCAAGGTCAGATTGGAGAAGCCATCCGAGGCAGTGGCAACCATAAGGAACTTCCCTAGATTTGCCCAAGCCCAGGAGATTGTAAGATACATTACCAAGTATTTTGCTGGTGACATATGACATACCAGTCCTTGTACTGTTAAGGAGAGGCTGACTTTTTTTTCTCCCTTACTTTTCTGTAGACATGAGATGAGAAGCCACCAGAACATCAGGCTTAAATACATGAAATTTGGGACCAGATTGCTGTGTCTGAATCCTAACTCCTCCAAATACTTGCCAAATGGCTTGATCAATGTCAGGCAGGTTTTCAGCTCAATTCACTTGAAGTAGAAGTCATCCTATGAAATTAGTCCATGAAAAGTTTACTATGAATAACAAATATCAGATTCCAGGAGAACATGAAGAACTCACCTAGGCATTTTGGTGGTTCTGACCACTGTCCATTTCTGCATATTACATCTATGGAGCCCCGAAGCTCATAGAAAGACTGACAACGGTACTGGACTGTTGATCCTGGAGGATATACTGGTAATGGGAATGAGGTGATGTCTCCATTGCTAACAGGTGGAGGGGGACCACAATATAGTGTGGACTCTGGAAAGTAAATAACATTTATGTGTTGAGAGAAAACCAACATGTAGTTTAAAATAGTACAAATAAATCTCCTTATATCTTCAATGTCTTCTATGATGTCTGAGAGCTCAAGTATCTGATTATATAATTTTGATAATACAACCTGATAGCCAAAACTATTATAGTGGTTCTTTTTACCCTAAAGTAAAATACACTGAAGTATTAAGTATATATGTATTATAAGGACATGCAAATATAAGTATTAAAAATAGTTTTTATTTAAAGCAAAAGGAACAGATAAGTAAATCTTATCTGGTCTACTCTCCGCCATCTTCATAAAAAATTTTATTTAAACAGGAAAGGTAAAAATAAAAATCTCCCTTTCCACTTCTATTCTCTGGGACTACTGTTATTTTATGCAAATAGAATGTGCCTATCAGTACATGATCATAAACTCATAGTTCTACTGAAATGAATTATTGACATACTATTTTCCATTTGTTTTCTGATTCCAAATAATAACACAGCATCTTTCTCTGTCAATAAATGTTTGAACTTCATTTTAAGAGTAGCTGGGATAGGGCGCCTGGGTGGCTGAGTCAGTTAGGTTTCTGCCTTCAGCCCAGGTCACAATGCCAGAGTCCAGGGATCGAGTCCCACATCAGGCTCCCTGCTCAGTGGGGAGTCTGCTTCTCCTTCTGCCCCTCACCCCACTCTCGTGCTCTCTCTCATTCTCTCTCTCTTTCAAGTAAATAAATAAAATCTTTTTTAAAAAGAATGGCTGGGGAACAGGGGCAGTTGGGTGGTTCTGTTGGTTAAGCCCCTGACTCTTGATTTCTGCTCAGGTCATGATTTCAGGGTTGTGAGATTGAGCCCCACACTGGGCCCCACGCTCCATGAGGAGTCTGCTGGAGATTCTCTCTCCCTCTCTCTCTGCACCTTCCTCTGCTCTCTCTCTCTCTCTCTCTCTCTCTCAAATAAATACATAAATCTTAAAAAAAAGAAAAAAAGGAATGGCGGGAATACATTCCATTGTACTGATTTCTCTTCCCATACATCACCAAAGATACAGATAAGAAATGGCCAAATAAATACTCTTATCCCAAATTTCTTCTACCTCTTGTTTCACTGAGTTATTAGTTCTGCATTTTTCTCAGACTAACTCTTTCATGGGAGCATTAGATTCCTTCCCCTTTAAATTCAGCAAAGACCCTACTCCATGAATTGTCCCCTTTTGTCTGTATTATCAATTTCTCCTTACCTGCCAAATCATTCACCAATATACAAACAAGCTGAAAATGTCACAACTGAGTAAGGTAAAATTTCCTTTTATCCATACCTGCCCCCCCACCCCCCATCTAGTTACTGCCTCATTTCCCTATGCCCGTGAGAGCAAAACTACTTGTTTCCTAGCCTCCCTGATCTGACTTAATCACCTCACATCCTCTCCTGAACACACTGCAAATAAATATTCCCCCCTACTGAAATAACTAAGCAAAGTTACCAATTACTTTAGGTAGCTAAATTCTTTGTTCAACTATCAGTCAACTTGTCTCATTCTAGGTAGTCTCTGACATGTTTGCTGTCCTGTTGAATGATATTTTGCAATATGTCCTTGGCATTGCTTCTAGGACACCAGCTCTGGTAATGTGATTTATGATAAATATTTGGTTTTTCTCCCCATTGCTGGCACAGAGGTCCTAAAACTCTCGGGATTTCCCAAGTGATGAGAGCAGTACATGTGTCTTTTGTTATGTCAATGAGACGAATTTTGGAAAACTCAAAGGTAACCGGAGGATAGGGTGGTTGCGAGGAGAACTAACATGTGATTAGAAGGTGGAACTTTCTGGAGGGACTGGAGGTTTGAATCAATCACCAATGGCTAAAGTTTTAATCAATCTGCCTATGTAATGAAGCCTCCATAAAACTCCAAAAGGACATGGTTCTAAAGTTTCTGGGGTGGTGATCTTGTGGAGATGTGGGGAAAAAGTGTGGGCTAAAGAGAGCATGGAAGTTCTTGCTCTTTCCCCATACCCTGCCTTATACATCTCTTCCATCTGGCTGTTCCTGAGGCAAGTCTTTTTATAATAAACCCATAATCTAGTAAGTAAAACATTTCTCTGAGTTCTGTGAGTTGCTTTAGCAAATTAATCAAACTCAAGGAGAGGGCTTGTTGGAACCTCTGATGTATAGCCAGTCAGTTAAAGACACAGATGGCAACCTAGACATGGAGCTGGCCTCTGAAGTGGGGGTACAAGGAGTAGTCTTCTAAGAGGGCATTTTTGACCTGTCACATCTGAAGCTATCTCTGGGTGGATAAGACAGTGTCAGAACTTAGGTGAATTGTAGGACACCCAACAGGTGTCCAAGATTTGCTTGTTGGATGTGGGGGAATCCCCCTACACACACACACACACACACACACACACACACACACACACACACAATGTAATTGTGTCCTAGAATCATTTTATCAGCCTTCCCTAGTTTTTCTTCCACAACTCTATCTGGCTGCCTCTCATTTCCCAGATCTCTAATAATGGAGAGTCGCCAAGGCTGTCCCTTTGACCTTCTCTCTTTTTTTTTTTAATTTTTTATAAACATATATTTTTATCCCCAGGGGTACAGGTCTGTGAATCGCCAGGTTTACACACTTCACAGCACTCACCATAGCACATACCCTCCCCAATGTCCATAATCCCACCCCCCCTCCCAACTCCCCTCCCCCCATTAACCCTCAGTTTGTTTTGTGAGATTAAGATTGACCTTCTCTCTTATTTTGCCATTTGAATTCTCTGTGTGGTCCCATCCAGTCCTATAGCTTTAGATATTCTATATACTTACGGTTGCCAAATTTACATCTTAGCCCTGACCATTTCTGTATTGTCCATTATACACCTGTCAAGTAAATATACTTAATAGAAGTGGGTATCCAGTAGAGATCTCAAACTTGCTTCTTCTGTGGCCACTGTTGCAAGTACTTCATAGAGGAACAGTTTTTGAAAGTCACAGAACTGGATAACTAGATGACAATTCAATGCTTTAGAATAATAAGTGCAATAAATAAATCACAAGTTCTTTTTCCTGTTCTTTAGATAAAACAAAGGAGATTAGTAAACACATTTTAAGTAGCATTAGAAATAAACTACTAACCAATACACTGTGGTAAGGACTGCCATTGTCCATCTATACACACAATTTCTCTTGGTCCATGAAGTAGATAATTTTCTTTGCAGAGAATGGCTACTTTTGCTTTATTCTGATAATTCACTGTGGTTAGCATTTTCTGAGCATTAGGTATCTGAGGTGGAGGTGGGCAGAATTCTCTCCATTTTCCTAAAAAAGTTTGGAATTTAATTATTTCACTAATAAAAGCTAAGGAGGAAAAACATCTCAACAAGATAATATTTCAGTATAGTGGAACATCCAATAACTAGTAACTCCCTTGGTGTGTGTGTGTGTGTGTGTGTGTATACATATGATGCTATAGTAACAAATATACTTTATTGTTTTTAAAAGATTTATTTATTTATTTATTTGAAGACAGAGATCACAAGTAGGCAGAAAAGCAGAGAGAGGGGAACTGAGCAGAGAGCCTGATGTGGGGCTCAATCCCAGGACCCTGAGATCATGACCTAATCTGAAGGCAAAGGCTTAACCCACTGAGCCACCCAGGTGCCCCAAATATACTTTATCTTAACATAGTTTATGGTTTGTAAAGCACTTTTGTGCTATAACCACTGGATTAAAATTTCTCTGGTATTCCCTTCTATTTCCTATTCATTATTCCATCAGTACTCTTATATAATTTTCAAATTAACCCTTTTACATTTTTTCTAGCTAACTCATATGATTTAAAAGTTATGTACGTGTGATTCAAACAAGTTAAAACAAAAAAATTAAAATGGTAATAGTAATGATAAAACCAATGAAGACTTCCCCTAATAACCTAACCCTTGAACTCAATGAAAGATTTTCATGATTTGCCTTTTGTTCTAAACATGGCAATGACTGGCAATTGATGTAATTAGAACACCACTGTTTGAGTAGGAATGAACTTCATTTTGATGGCTTGGTTTATTCTAAAGGAAAAATTTTTAAATGGTCAATTTGGATGCTAAAATATTATCTGAGCCACATCCCACCTCCTGACCTGGGCTGATAAAGTGTTCTCCTTCAGCTCATTTTTTTTTTTCCAGGATAGGTGTTGCTGTCTAGTGGCAATTACCTTCAAAATAATTAAAAATAGGGGCGCCTGCGTGGCTCAGTGGGTTAAGCCGCTGCCTTCGGCTCGGGTCATGATCTCAGGTTCCTGGGATCGAGTCCCGCATCGGGCTCTCTGCTCAGCAGGGAGCCTGCTTCCCTCTCTCTCTCTCTGCCTGCCTCTCTGCCTACTTGTGAACTCTGTCTGTCAAATAAATAAATAAAATCTTTAAAAAGAAAAAAAAAAAAGAAAAAAAAAGAATTAAAAATAAGTTGTTAGTTTTTAATTCCCACTATACTGTTTTCTTTTAAAACCAAGATAGAAGAATGAGCTAGTATCTCTTGTTTAAGTACATTTAAAAATATGACAATAGAGTAAATATTTCAAAAATTATCTTAAAATAGAATATAAGATTAATATAAATTCAGCCAAAATACACACATAGTCTCTGAAACCTGAATTTTACATTAGGTTGTTGTTTATTTTTTCAAGGGAAGACAGACACACTAGAATTATATGCTGCAAATCCTCTAAGCAAAAATTATTTCTGTGAAAAACTAGAGGGGTGTCTGGGAGGTGGGACCACTCATGCCTATGTTCTATATGACTTGCCCTATTTATTTGTTGGTTTGAGAAATATGTGACATAAAAGAATTTAATTCCAGTGGCATCATTATTCCAGTCAACCTTTAATAAGGCTGGTCTTTCATGAACTGTTTTGGCTTAATAACTCACCTTTCAAAAGAAAATGAAGATTAGCCTGACATTTTAGCCTGATCTTGGGGTTGTTGGGCCCCCCAAAATTGGGTACCCCAATAACGGGTCCGTGATTAAAGGAGCAAGACTGCTACAAAGCGAAGGTCAAGCAAAGCTTTATTTCCCACCAAGCATCAGGAATCAGACCGACCATCAAAGAGACCGGTCGGGCCGCCCCTTATAGAGAGGACGAACCCTCCCTGCTTTCCAGACTAACTTTTTTTTTTTTTTTTAAACATATAATATCTTTTTATCCCCAGGGGTACAGGTCTGTGAATCGCCAGGTTTACACACTTCACAGCACTCACCATAGCACATACCCTCCCCAATGTCCATAATCCCACCCCCCCAACCCCCCTCCCCCCATTAACCCTCAGTTTGTTTTGTGAGATTAAGAGTCACTTATGGTTTGTCTCCCTCCCAATCCCATCTTGTTTCATTTACTCTTCTCCTACCCCCTTAACCCCCCCATGTTGCATCTCCTCTCCCTCATATCAGAGAGATCATATGATAGTTGTCTTTCTCCGATTGACTTATTTCGCTAAGCATGATACCCTCTAGTTCCATCCACGTCGTCGCAAATGGCAAGATTTCATTTCTTTTGATGGCTGCATAGTATTCCATTGTGTATATATACCACATCTTCTTTATCCATTCGTCTGTTGATGGACATCTAGGTTCTTTCCATAGTTTGGCTATTGTAGACATTGCTGCTATAAACATTCGGGTGCACATGCCCCTTCGGATCACTATGTTTGTATCTTTAGGGTAAATACCCAGCAGTGCAATTGCTGGGTCATAGGGTAGTTCTATTTTCAACATTTTGAGGAACCTCCATCATGCTGTTTTCCAGAGTGGTTGCACCAGCTTGCATTCCCACCAACAGTGTAGGAGGCTTCCCCTTTCTCCGCATCCTCGCCAGCATCTGTCATTTCCTGACTTGTTAATTTTAGCCATTCTGACTGGTGTGAGGTGGTATCTCATTGTGGTTTTGATTTGTATTTCCCTGATGCCGAGTGATGTGGAGCACTTTTTCATGTGTCTGTTCGCCTCCAGACTAACTTTTATAGAGCAAATGCCATGTGGTTGGGCCTGGCCACACACAGGTGGCCAATGAGATTGTAACACACACAGGTAACTCCACAGTGTTGCTAGGTGACCAATTGAATTACAATTTACCCTAGTAGACATTTGAATCAGCTTATCACCTAGTTCAGAATTGGTGCCAAAAGGTGCCCAAAGGGCGGGGCCCATACTCCTTGGTAGCTAGGAGACAGTATGCGCCCCACTGATTGAATACCTCCACCTGGCCTGACCCACCCTTGTATTTGGACTTTGTTACCTGGGACTGGTTTCCCAGACTTGCTTTTAAATAAGTTCCCGGGGGGTGCCAATTTAAGTTTTACAACAAAATGGCAGTTCAACCAGGGTGGGGCTGCTCTGGCTGAATAGGCCCTTACAGGGTGAGTGAAGGCACTTCGATTTTGATTTCGGTCATGATCTCAGGGTCCTGAGATCAAGCCCCACATCAGGCTCCAAACTCAGCACAGAGTTGGCTTGGGATCTTCTCTCCATTTCTCTCTGCCCCTCCCAGTTGTGCTCGCTCTCTAAAATAAATAAGTAAATCTTTTTTAAAAAAGATTAGCCTGGTATTACTGTTATTGTACATTTTCAGTTAGTAAAGTCTGATTCACAGGCTAGAGGACAAGCTATGGAAAGCACATGAAAAGAAGACCAGGCACATTCAGCAGATGGATGGGGCTTTACTATGTAGAAATTTTCCTACTTGTCTCATTTTCTCTTTGTTGAGGAATTTTGTGTGTCATTTATTAATTTTTGTTTAGGTACTCAAATATTTTTATATAAATACAAAATCACAAGGATGAATACTTGGTAGATTTCATTAAGACTCTTGGAAGGGCACCAAGGTCTGTGATACTAATCCTGGGAGTCAGCAACCACCTGCTGTCTACCTCCTAGAAGTCCCAATGCAGGGAAATAGGGAGGTTGACGTTGCCTGTAACCTCAAGCATATAAATAATTTAAAAAATTGTAAGCAAAGTCCCAACTAACCAAGTTAAATGTTCGAATATCATATAAATATCATTGCTGTTATATTGAGGTAAAAAATTATACATAATTATGTCAGTTGTCCAACTTACTTTCCTTATTGAAGTATGGACATGTCTTTACACTGTTGGTGGGAATGCAAGTTGGTGCAGCCACTTTGGAGAACAGTGTGGAGATTCCTCAAGAAATTAAAAATAGAGCTTCCCTATGATGCTGCAATTGCACTACTGGGTATTTACCCCAAAGATACAGATGTAGTGAAAAGAAGGGCCATCTGTACCCTAATGTTTATAGCAGCAATGGCCACGGTCGCCAAACTGTGGAAAGAACCAAGATGCCCTTCAACGGACAAATGGATAAGGAAGATGTGGTCCATATATACTATGGAGTGTTATGCCTCCATCAGAAAGGATGAATACCCAACTTTTGTAGCAACATGGATGGGACTAGAAGAGATTATGCTGAGTGAAATAAGCCAAGCAGAGAGAGTCAATTATCATATGGTTTCACTTATTTGTGGAGCATAACAAATAACATGGAGGACATAGGGAGATGGAGAGGAGATGGGAGTTGAGGGAAATTGGAAGGGGAGGTGAACCATGAGAGACTATGGACTCTGAAAAACAATCTCAGGGTTTTGAAGGGGCGGGGGTGGGAGGTTGGGGGAGCCAGGTGGTGGGTATTAAGGAGGGCACGTATTGCATGGAGCACTGGGTGTGGTGCAAAAACAAATTCTGTTATGCTGAAAAAAAAAATAAATCTTTAAGAAAAAAAAGAAAGAAATTTCAACCTAGGATAGATACAGTGTAGTTGAAACAGCACTGATAGAAGAAACTAGAAACAAATTCCAGTTTTGATTTTGACCAAGTGACTTCTTGGGGCCTTGTATTCCTGATTTGTAAAATGAAGGATTTTGTTGTCTTTCTTAAGAATAAGTCTGACATTTCCTGTGACAGATATTTGCCACTTGTTAATATCCTCACCTAATCTCTACCTGCCACCCACCATTACCTCCCAAAATTCTTATTAGACTCTTCTCTCAACTTTCAGGAAGGCCTCCTTCTAAGTTTTGTCCTCACTCTGGAAAGATAATTTCATTATCAATAAGTACAACCTTTAAGAAAATCAAGTTGATACAATAAATAAAATTTTTTATTATTTTTATCTAACTCATATTGGGTAATTGGGGGATTCTAAATACCACTGCTAATCTGTTCTATAAATTTTATATAGTGTTTTTAGTATTAAAAACTATCAGTAATCTGGCAACGGGCAATGGAACATTATGTACAGTACATAATGGAAC